TTGTTTTATTTTGTTTTACTTTATTTCTATTTTGTTTCTTACTTGTTTTATTTTGTTTTATTTTCCTTTTTTGTTTTGTTCTATTTATTTTATTTTCTACGCTTTGTTTATTGTTTTTACGTTGATCTAATGCATATATATATATATATATATATATATATAGTTTGTTTCAATGTTTGTTTATTTGTTTGCTTTTTTTAACTTACTTTTCGACTCTTACTTCTAACTCATTTCTGTATAATTTTTTCCAATTATATGTAAATAGAATCAGCTTCTACTATTGCTATCATACAGTTGACAATATATTCTGATGCAATTGTATTTTATGGAATTATCATTATAAATAGGAATTAATCGAATTTTATCACTTTGAGTGATACGTTGAAATGGAATGAATAAGCAATCAAAATTTTATCGATTTGATTGTAGATGAAGCGTTTGATGGAATATATTATATTCGAAATACTAATTATTACTTTGTTATTTGGTGATAACATGGCCAGTGAAGATAATAAACAAAATGAAGAAATAAGGTAGGCGAGAGTTATTTCCGGATGATAATTGTGATTAGTTCACAGCAATGAACAAAATTAATTTATCCTTTAAATAATGAACAGGGGAAGAGAGAAATAAATAATGCATCAAACTTTTGATACCTATTATCACTGATTAATTGAACTTTATAGAAGAGTTTTTCCACACTGTATTTCAGGATTCGGACGAAACGATATCTTTTTGGTTACGGTAGTTTTGGAGGGTTTTCAGTATTTCCATTCTTCAGCATGGGTTGGGGTCATTTCGGCGGAGGACTAAGTCCTTGGGGATGGGGAGCTCCGTGGATAGGACCAGGAGTTTGGAATTATGGCCCATCTTGGGGTTGCGCATTTTGTTGACAACTAAAAAGCATCAAAATTGGAGGTTGGATTGATATATATATATGAATATATTTTTATTTAACCTAAATGTAATTGCTTCTTCGTTTCTGATTGTCATTGCTAATAAACATTATTGAACTTCGTTTTCAAACTTAAATTTCATAAAATTGGCGGTGAATTGATTATTGATTTACAAATGATTTTCTGAAAGAAAATATGTGAACAAGTTTTAAATAATTGTAAACAAATATATTGCAATTATTTCATGTTCTGACATTTAGAAATTATGCTATGTTATAGATATGATAATTTTGAAAATATTTTTAAAACGAATTATGCCATCGTCATACTTGACATTGCTAGGATCGTTCGTTTTCTTCCTCTGTAAGATCTTAGGATAGTGAAAAATTTGCATATTTTATTATTTATTACTAAAAGTAATTATTGTTATTTTGACTAAAAAGAAAATGAATTGTTATGAAGTCAATGAATAAAGTACGAAATGAAAAAAAAGCTAATAAAATGCAACAGAGCAACTTAATATCATAAAACTGTGTTAATTTCAATTAAAACATTTCAAATTTTATGTTCGATTAATTAATGTTTATTGTAGTTATCGAAATAAAAATTTGTCTTAATTAATCGTTACTTAATTATCATTATTATTTAATTACTCAAAAATAGATCTAAACTTGTATATGATGGCTGATTCCACGTGGAGAGCTAAAATTCAAATTATTAGCAGAGAAACATTTCAGATGTTCTCGCACACGTTCTCATTCACTGTTGTTGTTATTATACTCTGTGTTAATCTGACATTGGTGTCGTGTGGTAAGATATCTGATGCTAATATGATAAGGTGATAATTTGAATTTTCTGATATAAAATTTCAGTTTTTCTTCAAATGTTGATAGAAACAATGAAATTAAGCATTACTTTATTGTGTGAAAAAGAAGTTTTTCTAGAAAACGGGACAAGCGACAATTTTATGGCGGTCACCACTTTGGTAGCATATCTGTTCCGTTCTTCAATTTTGCCTGGGGCAGACACTATAATGGATGGCATGCCCCTTGGTACTATAACTATGGTTGGAGAGTGCCATATCCGTTTGGACCACATTTTGGGATAAGACGACGGTTCTGGAGAAGGCGTTGGGAAAATTGGGACGGGTATGATGAGGGTTTCAGAGGTCATGGGCCATTTCATGGCGGTTTCGGAGGTCATGGCCCATTTCATGGCGGTTTCGGAGGTCCATGGTTTGCTTGATGGGTGTTATTCAATCGATTTGTTGAAAATTGTAATTCGAAATGATATGAAAATATATGAATTACTGTCACATATATATTACTACATGTCACTCTGTACGATACATAAAAGGGAACAATCATTTTGTGTAGGAATTTTGAAAGTTTTACTTCAAAAATTACTAAATCTTTAAAATAAAGCATTTACATTTGAATAGTTTCCACAGCTACACGAATATCATTAATGCAATGACGTCGATCAGAACAAGTACGTATGATTGATTACTTTCAAAAGTGATGTGATGTCATTTAAAGTTGTTTAAATGGTTAAATGATTTGAAGCAGCATATTATCATTAGTGTTATCAGCATATAATCAGGTTATAATGGATGAAAATATGAAAATATCTTGTATGCAGCATAATTATCATTAGTGTTATCAGCATATAATCAGGTTATAATGGATGAAAATATCTTGTATGCAGCATAATTATCATTAGTGTTATCA